GCCAAGGCAGAGAGTTCCAATTGGGCCATTTTTTTTTCTTTCTCTTATTTAAAAAGAATTGTGAAATATATGCTTCTTGTACAAGCACTTATGTCAAATGATGCAGCTGTCTTTATTTATGTCTATAGAAATGTATGGAAGAATGGTCAAAAAATATCAGTGATGGTAATGTCTAGCTAGTAGGCTATCAGGTGATTTTTAATTTCCACATATACTTTTTTGTATTGTTTGAAATTTTTAGAATGATCATATGTCATCAGAAAGAAACAGTAAAGCTATTTTTTTAATATTAACCATAGCCACAGGCCCTCCCTGTACATTTTTGTAACTTTCTATATATCTATAATTATTACAAAATATAAAGTTTTAAAAACTGAACTACCACTATTCATACTTGATCAGAAAAAAACAATAATAATTGTGTTCAATACATTGGGCTTTTAAAAAAAATGCCTTTTGATCAAATGTTAATTCCCATCCCATTTCTGTTAGAAAATAAAAAAGCTTCAAACATAAAGTTGCGATCTTGGGAACAAGGAGGGGCAGAGGGTAGAGCGCCCTGGTGCCATGACCTCTGTATGGTTCAGCTCAAGAAATGAGCTCACCAGCACTGCCCAGGCACCGCTGCGTCAACAAACCCTTGCAGAGGGCACAGGCGCAAGGCACAGCGAACCCCAGACAGGCACAGAGCATCCCTTTCTAAACCACGGAACCATTTTTCTTTTATGTAGGATCTGTCAGCCCTGAGGACCCTGTCCATTTATTTTCCACAGAGACCACAGAGAAGAAAAAAACGCCCTTATACTATTCCTTTTTTAAAAACATACTTAAGCACTAATAATTTTGGGTAAGCACGCCCTTCCTTGAAGACCTCTATAATAGCTTCAGGCTCCACAGCCAAGTCTGTGCCCTGCTGCTCCAGTTAGACAAACTAAAAGCGGCTGCTCTGAAACATGAACAAAGGTAGTTAGGCTGCGGGTAAGGACAGGTCTGCAGCAGTCAGTGCTTGATGGCTTAAATGAAAGAAAGGAAAGGACAGAACAGTCTGGCAGCTGCTGCAGCTGCCACAAACAGCAGAGTTACTTTATCAAGGGTGGGCGAGCACAAAAGACCTTGAAAGCAGCTAGAGACAGCAACACACAAAATTCAGGTTTTGGATCCTAACTGCCCCAAAGCTGCACCGGCTAAGTGAAGCGATCTGGTCAAGAGTGATGACAGGATAAAGACAGGTAGTTGTTCGGTGGCAATCTCTTCCCTTCAATTTGAGTCCCTCAGTGACACACATCTTCAAGTGATGAGTGCCAACACCAAGCTAAACAATGATCTTTCAAATCTGATCCAATGCATTTAGATGCCTGGTCTGTTTTCGGTGCTATTTTCTCTTCCATTGCTGGCTTAGCAAGTTCTGCATAATCTCCCTGATGCTCTCTCCAGATTCACCCCTTGCATTCCAGTTCCATCATAAAGAACCCCTTTCTGATTCCACTCTCTGTGCCCAAACATCCCATGTGCCCCCTGATCCCCCACCCAAAATCCGGATTGGGTGCCACTCCACCATGTTCCCTGAGGACCTCCCTCATAGCATCACCAAGCTGAAAGTATGTCAAGCATCTTGTCCCAGCACTGCCTTAGGAGGACTCTGCCATCCCTCTTCTGTACAGAAACTGGCTCAGAAAGCATAGGCTATGGGGAGTCAGGAAGTGAAGGGCTAATATCATTATGAGGGCAGCCAGAAGTTTGGCTGGGTGAGGGGCCCACTCCCCCAACCACCTAGCTGGTCTATTCTAACCTAGGGAGACCACTTTCTCCTAATGCCAGTGCTTTGTAAGAGCCTAAGTGTAAACCCCTTAGCAGTGGGAGCCATATGGAAGAGCGGCAGCAAACTGAAAGGACCACAGTGGTCTGGGATATCTGCAGCACACCTTCCTCTTCTTCAACTCCCTCAGAGGCACACAACTTGTAGCCTGGCTTTAGCCTTTGCCCAGCACAAATTCCTAGACAAGGAAGCTGGCATCCCGGATGAAAGGAACTCTCAAACCAAAACAACTAGACAACTGAGGAGTTGTACTATTAGAAAGCTACTATAAGAGAAGGGCAATGCACTCAATAAATAACATGAAGCAGAATTACCATAACAGACCAAAAAATTTTAGCATAATTAGTATCCTCCAAGAAATAAAGGAAGAATACTAAGGAGAAATATTAAGAAGAAAATCACGGGTATATACAAATATAATGAGTGAGATGTGTACCATCTGGGGGATGGACATGCTGGAGACTCAGACTTGTGGGGGGAGGGGGGGAAATGGGCATTTTTTGAAACCTTAAAATCTGTACCCCCATAATATGCTGAAATAAAAAAATAAAAATAAAAAAATAAAAAAGAAAGAAAAGGAAAAAGAAGAAGAAGAAGAAGAAAAACACAAAGGTTGAAAGAAAGAGCACAAAAGAGATAAATAGCAGATAGAAACAAAAAGAAAACAGAGCAATGCAACATAAGCTCAGAGAGAGGAACATCCCCAGAAAGAAGCTGAAAAGAATGAAAGAGCAGAGAAAAGTGATATAGGAAATAAAAGCAGAGGTTCCAATATCCAGACAATAGGGAACAAGGAAGAAGAGAAGGAAAACAAACATAAAAGAAAAGAATATATATATATATTTTTTTTTTTTTTCTTTTTTTAGACAGAGTCTCACTCTGTCTCCCTGAGTAGTGTGCAGTGGCATCATCATAGCTCACTGCAACCTCAAACTCCTGGGCTGAAGGGATCCTCCTACCTCGGCCTCCCGAGTAGCTGGGACTACAGGTACATGCCACCATGCCCGGCTTATTTTTCTACTTTTAGTAGAGACTGAGGTCTCACTCTTGCTCAGGCTGGTCAAAAATATTTTAAGAAAATTTATATTTAATTCCTCAGAATTAAAAAAAGATGAAATACCTCATATGAAAAGTTTATAAAGGACCAAACAGGTTATGCAAAGACCCATATGAAGGCAAATTATACTGAAATTTAAGAACACTAAGATTAAAAGCAAATTCTAAACAAATTTAGAGAGAAAGAAAGGAGAACAATGAGATTAACCTCAAATTGTTCAACAGCAACATCAATGTGTAAAAAAGACAATGGAGTAATATTTTTAAAGCATTGAAGGAAAAAAACTTTGAACATATACTTATCAAATGTAAGGATACAATAAAGATATTTTTGGGCACGCAAAACCACAGTGAAGTCTCACTTTAAAAATATTCATCAAGGAATTATTCAAGTAACAAAAATAAATAAATCATGTAGGATAAGATATATTGAAAATAAAGTCCATCTACTGAATTTCTTGGCTAAAAAAGCAAACAATTCCAAAATTTTAGAATTAAAATGTTAAGACAACAGCAATGATATTGGGATGAGGGCTGGGAAGAAAGGGAGAGCCTCAAGGTACATGTAAACTGCCAAGGTATTGGTATTATTACAAAGTAAATACACACTTTAATACATTTAATGAATGATTAGGAATAAATAAACACAAATTGGGATCTTAAGATAACAATAAAAATAGAATTTGTTTTAAATGATGAGAAAAAAAATTTTATCTATCCATTAGAAAGTAGGAAATGAGAAAAAATAAAATATACAGTCAGGAGAAAAATATTAAGTTAAAATTAAATTAATATATTAGAAATAAGTCCTAATTAAACACTCATTATAATAAGCGTAGATTGATTAAACTTACCAATTAAAGGACACTCAGATTGGATACAAGTAATACAATGCCTATGAGAAACAAATACACAAAAAAATAGAGAAAGAGGATGGAAAAAGATATTGAAAGCAAATATGAACCAAAAGAAGGCTGGAGAACCCATTTCGATATCTGATAATACAGAATTCAAGTTTTAAAAATAAATCATAAGGGACAAAGTTGGGTGCTGGAAAAAGAAACAGAAAAGTAACAGATGTGATCTTTCATTTTATATGTACCTAACAATATAACCTCAAATATATAAATACTCTTACATAAAGTAAGAACTGACAGAATGACAAGAAAAAGAGATAAATCAATAAATACATTTGAATATTTTAACACATTCCTTTCAGAAACTGCTAGAACAGGCAGACAAAAAAAAATAAGTGGAAATACAGAAGGCCTTCTAAATAAATAATACACTAAATGAGTTTGAGCAAGGAGATCTACAGGGAGCAATATACACAAACAGAGAATATGTAATTATTTTCAACCTTTCTAAAAGCTAACTGCATACCAGGCTAAAGCTTCAGTAAACTCCAAGGAATTGCTATCCCAAGGACTATCTTTCCTGACTATAAAATTAAAAAACAATAACAAAATCAAAGCTTAAAAATAATTCCACATGGCTAGCTAGAACTTGGTTAAAAAGAAAACCATAAGGGAAATTTTTAAAAATACACAGAATTGAATGACAATGAAAACACAGCATGGCAAATTTGTGAGACACAGCTCAAGCATTACTCAGAGAGAAATGTATACCTTTAAATACATTCCTCTTTTCATTCTTTAATGCTAAAAATGAGCAAGTGTTTCCCTGAAAGTCATACAAACAGAACATGGAGCACTGTGAAAAAGCTCTAACAATGTATACAAATATCTACCTGGTGGCCTGCTGGGCCCCCTGCCCCTAGGATTCACGAGAGACAAAATACAATGATGTCAATAAATAAAAACATAAAGGAAAAAACATACCAGGCAACAGCACACCCACTTTAGCTGCCCAGTAAGCCTATTAACCAAAGCATACTCTATGTTAGGGGAAAATATCATGCCCTGAATCCCTGAAAACTTTTAATCCATCATTAAATTGGATGTAAAAATCCACAGACCCTGGAACTGAGTATTTCCATTTTACTAAACACTGGGCACTGCTACTTCCAGACCCCATCCCTTCTGGCATCCTCTCTGTGAGATTAAATACTCCCCACCTCTAACTGATACTGATGTCATGAGAATAAAACATATTTGCACACAAGTACCTGATAGGGTAAGTCAGCCATCCTTAAGTAAGTTTCCATTTTTAAACAGAAAGGAGACAGACTGGGGACACCATTGTTAGGTCTTGCAAACTGATGCAAAATTATAGCATCTTTAGAGTCAATCTCTTGCTGTTTCCTGTCAAAACCAAAACAGAAATAAAGAACAATCCACAAGTTATATGTTCAGTTCCCATAGTTCTTGAGAGGACGCTGCTGGGTTGTAGCTCCTCAATGAGCAAATCTGTTCGTCACAGGGGTTTACCTCACACAGCACTTACAGAATAGAAGCTTAGTCAGAACACAAGAGAACCTCACAAACTGATCTTACCATGACCCCAATGGCTCAGAAAAGTAACTACATACCAGCCTCCTTCTGTTACCTGTAGCCTATGGGCTGGAAGAATATTTTCTGGTACGGATCCACCTTTTCTCCTGCCGGCTATGTATACCTGCCTGCGACAAGTTGGATGGATAAAAATAATATTCTGTGCTGACTATGTGTCACACACTGTTCTGAGAGTTTCATAGGCATTACTGATATTTAACCTTCACAATACCCTTATGAGGCAGATACTATTATTACCCACATTTTATAGATGAGGAAACTGAGGCACAGAGGATTAACTTGCCCAAAGTCACATTGCTAATAAACAGCAGAACCTGGACTGACCCAAGAAGGCAGAGCCTATGTTCTTGGCATTAGACTATAGCATGCAACAGTGTATTCCACCCCAAGACCCAGGAACATCAGTGCAGATTTGCTCTGCCATGACCCAAGTCCACAGGGAATCTGAGACTCTGAATATTCTGGTCCCTTTTCCAAACTGCCAGTGCCCTCAGCTGGCCTTTCACCTGTGGTGCCACAGAACCTGGTTTCTGGGAGTACATTCGTGTTATGTGTGTTCTCGCTAGCTCTCTTTCTCTCTCCCCTCCCACCAGGTTTTCTGCCTTCACAGTGTCCCCACTTGGACCATGCAGCACATATTTTAGTACCCCTGCTTCTCCCCTTTCTTCCATCTCAGCCACACATCCATCTTTTCCTTTGGCTACTTTTTTGGGTGGGGAGAACTTCCCTGGGTACAGTTCTTCAATAGCCGGCATGTAGCAAAATGAATGCTGGATTCCAAGTCTGGACACCTGAGATCAAGCCCAAGCTCAGCTTCCTGCTGGCCATGTTACCCTAGACCTCTCCACCTCCTTCACCTGGAGCATGAGGACAGTACCAGTTCTACCAATTCTGCATAGATTATTGTGAGGATTAAATAAGGTAATATCTGTAAATATTTAGAGAGCTATCAAGCATCAAATAATAGTGAAGTTTATTCTCATCCAAAGAGATATGGTCATATCCCTGTTAGCTACAAAATCTCATCACTCCACACAGCCCTTAGGAACCTTTTGCAATTCCCATCTCTCACTCTACCTAGCCATTTCCCATCAAATAAACTTTACTCTTCCCCTCAGCCCTCCCTGAGCCTCTGGTTCCCTGGCATCATTCCCAGTCTAATACCACACCTATTTTGTTCTATTCAAGCAAGGACAAGCTCTTTGTATCTTCACCACATGCATCTTCACTGCAGCGTCCCCATTTAGTAAAACAACCTCTCTTGAAGAAGTTTACCACCCAAGGGTCCATTCAACTTGAAGAGTTCAGAATAACTCATTTTTAAAAATACCAGTCAAGTCAAAAGAATAAAAATATTTGCTGTTTTCTGGCAATATTTGTTATAAAACAAAAGATCTCCTTTAGATCAAATGTTTAGGAGGTCAGACATTAAAATCAAGAATCTGGCCGGGCGCAGTAGCTCACGCCTATAATCCTAGCACTCTGGGAGGCTGAGGCGGGTGGATCGCTCATGGTCAGGAGTTCGAAACCAGCCTGAGCAAGACCCCGTCTCTACTATAAATAGAAAGCAATTAATTAGCCAACTAAAAATATATAGAAAAATTAGCCGAGCATGGTGGCACGTGCCTGTAGTCCCAGCTACTCGGGAGGCTGAGGCAGAAGGATTGCCAGGAGTTTGAGGTTGCTGTGAGCTAGGCTGACGCCATGGCACTCTAGCCTGGGTGACAGAATGAGACTCTGTCCCAAAAAAAAAAGAAAAAGAATCCACTTGGACTATGTTCCTAAACAGCACAAACTATAGATTTGACAATTAACTGATTTTGTTCAGCCAAATAATTTGCATCACAAACAGTTATTTTCATGTAAATTAGCCAGGTAAAAATTTAAGAACTAAAAAGAAATGAGAAAAATATAAAATTACCTGCTACACTGGCCAGAAACATCCAATTCTAATGGTTAATTTGGGCCATGTCATTGTAAGAATGGATGCTAAGTAAGTGCCAAGCATATGACAATGACTTTATATACATCATATGTATTAATTTATTTTTCTGACAATAACACTAGAGTAGGTATTGTTATAGTTTCAATTTAGTAGGTATTGTTATAGTTTCAATTTATCACACTATACTCATATCTTACAGTAGACAAGGAAACTCAAGCTCAGAGAAGTTAAATAACTTACCTGAGGCACAACAATTTAAGATCAAGTCTGTAATAACTCCAGTTCCCAAGCTCTTAAGCAATTCAAGGACACCAAAATGGGAAACTCTTCAAATAATGTTATTAATACAGCCAGTTTGACTTAGAACATTCAAGCCTGGAACTTTCTGATAAAAGTTTGTAATAGCTAATGATGGCCAACTTTTATTGAATTTTCACTATATGACAAACTGTCCAAAGCATTTCATGTGTGTTAATTAGTTTAATCAATTCTATAAGAAAAGCTACTATTACTATCCCCATTTTACACATGAGAAAACTGAGTCATTAAGAGCTTACTATCATATCCAAGGTTACATGGTTGGCTACAGACAAACTCTGAATATGAACCCAGCAATTTAGCTCCAGAGCCCTCCCTCCACACATCTAACTTAGGATCAGAGGATCAGGTGGGTTGTTTCCTATGCAGCTGTTTTATAAAGTAGCCTTATAACAAGGTTTATAAAAGAAAACATCCATAGAGTATCAACTAACTAGTCTAATAGTAGACTAGCTCCTATTCCCGTGGCTGAGGATATCACAGATGATGATGTCTCTGTACAGCAGCTGAGTTGTTAGTTTGTAGAGACCAGATGTAGAGACCATGGGCCGCTTTGATTCACTAACTAAGTTTTCCAGGACAGGCTGAGTCTGTGTGCTAAAAGTGCAAATGAGCCACTGGTAATGACGTTATTACTTGGCCATTCAATTTACAAACAAAAATTTTCCAAATGCCTGATTGAATTTAAGATATTTGCCAGGCCATCTCCACTCAGGAAAAATGAAATAAGAGGGTTGGGACAATATTTGTTTGAAAATATGGTACTGGAAAAAACATGGATAAAGCCCAAAATACCTATTTTGGTTATACTCATTAACTAAACTTTTAAAATAATTCTCACCTGTCAACTTCACTTTCCACGCTAGAGACATAGCCATAGATGAAGGCTGTCTATGCAGCAGAAAATCTAAGTAGGGTGGTGAAGAGTTTGCAATTGTTAGTGAATTCAGACAGAACAGTCATTTTAAGGTGTATTTTCCATCCCACGTATTTCAGATTTTGTTTTATTTTTTGCCTAAAGGACACAGACTATTGAAAGTTACATTCCAGCTTAAGTGGCCATCTCTCTATCACGTGACCTTCTGAAGCCTGGGTTCTCACCCTCCTCATTTTCCCCAGCCCTCTGCCCTAACAGGCTGCAAGAAAGTCAGGCCCCTGCCACAGGCCTGTCTTCCCCGAGCAATACCCCAGTCCTCCACATTTCCTCTCCCCCATCAAAACTTATTTCACAGTGGGTACTTTCTAGGAGGCAGGAGTAAAAAGCGAAGGCTCCTGAGACACACGCTCTCAGATTTGAATTGGAATCCTACAACTCTCACTGTGTGATTTTGGGCAAGTTGCGTAACCTCCCTCAGCCTCAATTTCCTTAACTAAAAAATGAGAATCAAGCCTCAAACAAGAATTGTGAGGAATAAATGCAATCATGCAAAGCACCTATATGCAGAGTCCCTACTAAATGCTCAAGAAAGGACAGCCCTTTATAATTTTTTTATTGTTTACATTATACTGGGGTTTTCCAATTCAACTTAAACATTTTTCAAGAAACAAAATTGAATAAACCAAGGATTTAAAACTCCTTAATCCAAACAAGCATCCAATGCTGGGCCTTGTAGTCCCCTACACGGGGAAGGAGCCATCTGTAGGCAAAGGGATCTCCAGTGTCCAGCCACACACCTGCCGGGGCCTGGCCTACTCCAGCGTGAGTGCTGAATTCCCTGCTATTTCTACAAGGTCATTTAAACTATGTTTTAGACCAAGTCCCATGAAGCCCTCACTCCCTCTACAAAGTGGAAAACTGCTGGGAAGCCACATGCTTCGGGATCCTCAAAGGCTTTAGACTGGAATGTAACTGAGAAAAAACTGGGTTACCATTTAAATTACTGCACAAATGTTTTAGTTCTTTATAAAGCTCTAAACCTAACTTGAAATAGAGTTCTAAAACTAGCATAAATATCAAATAATCCAGAGATATAATTCACTTTGAATTTTCTAATTTGGTTCAACTAGATTCAAGGTGCTGTGTTAAGCAAGAGAATTAAATGTGCAACAAGCTTTAAAATAAACCCTCAATTATGGCCAAATAATATGAAAACCAATACATTTTGCCAGACCTAAATGATTTCCCACCCTCTCAGAGATGGGAAATATAAAAATACCTAAATTAAGCAAAATATCTAGATTAGATTGTCACAACGTCCTCCTGGGATCCCTGCAGGCAGGTTAAAGGTCACCTGTCACTGTCTTTGTTTATAACCTATTGTGTAGGATTCCTCCTCTGGAAGAAGGCAGTGTGGACACATTTCTCCCTCTTTAGAAAATACTGGCCAGGAGGGACATTCTGAGCTATTCTGAGCTATTGAGAAGGTTCTAATTCTGATAATCTTGCAGTGACTGAGGGCTCAAATGCTTGGAAATTTTAATATAAACTAATGTATCAATTAGCCAAACGACCTTCTCAGTAGCCGGTGGTATTACTCTACTCAAACAAAAATCTCCTGCGGGCTGGATGTACCAACAGCAGGGGCCTCCATTTTCTGGTATTTCCAAGTCCATCCTGTAAACATTCTGCGGCAGCAACGAATGCAACTGTTTACGGCACTGGGCGACTCTGTGTTATGTCAAACACGCCCATGTGCTAGCCTGTCCTCCGATCTCCTGCTGCTCACAGAACAATGACATTTAAGCCTGAAGATGGTGCTTAGCGTTCAGTACCACATAAGCAGAGAAAACCAGGTTAAGCCTGCATCAAAACTGCACACCACTAAATTTGGCCATGCTTCTTTAACAGGGACCGGCAGGTTCCAAGAGCTTTTGAAATTTTTCAGCCTCTTGATGATGTTGACATTTAGGGAAGGATAGGGGAGAACTAACCTTTTAAGTAAAAGGTGAGGTTAGTAGTTAATATTCCAGCATTAACATCTATAAACAAATAAGGCATTTCATAAAAGTGTAACTTAGTATTTCTACACGGCCTAATTCTATTGTTGCAAACACATTGCACTCAGGATCTTCTTAAGGACGTTTCTTAATAGATAACAACTAGTGACCCAAAGCATTTTTGCTTTTAGCACCAAACATAGGGAGACAAATGTTTTTTCCCTCCCAGTACCAGTTTAATTCTCCTGTCAACTCTAAACTGCCCCTCACAGCCAGGTGACCACAGAATGCCTTTGGGGAAAGGTAATAGCAGGCTGCTTGGGCATTTGGGCGGCATGACCCAGGGGCTGGCACAAGTCTCCCCTTGCGCCAGCCCTGCCCTGGCCAGGTGCCCCTCTCAGCGCCCCTGCGCGGGGCCCTCTCTCCGGCTCACCTAATGACCAGGAGTTCGTGGAGCAGATACGCAGCTGCGGCCAGCAAAGCTCCCCCGGTCAAGTAAAGGGTTTTCTTCCACCAGGGATCGGAGCCCAGCCCTGCCATGATCCCACCGTAATCCTGCAAAGGGAAAGCGATGATGTCCCCATAAAAGGAGAAGGGCTCGTCGGACCCGGCCCACCAGCCGAAGAAGGAGACGCTCTGGTTCCAGCTTAGATCCACCACGCACGGCCTGGACGAGGCAAAGCCAACCCCCCAGTGCATGCTGCGCGGCTGGCTCCCGGCGCCCCTCCCAGGGCCCGCGCCGCCCGCATGGAAGGAGCCGGCGCGGCCCGGCGCGGGCTCAGCTGCGCGCGGAGGGCGCGGAGGGCGCGGGCGGCGCGGGCAGCGGCGACCGAGGAGGCGGCGGCAGAGGAGGAGCAGGAAGGGCGCGGGCCACGAGCGGCGGGCCTGGCCGGCGGGGCCCCAGGGCCCTGGGCGGCAGCGGCGGCCGCCGGCTCCCCCCGCAGCGGCCTCTCCGCGCCGCTCTTTGTGTCGGCGCCTGGAGAAGGCCGCGTGATGTCATTGCTCCCCGGGGCAGGGAAACAGAGGCGGGATAAAGTCACCTACCCCGCGCCCTGCCCCCGCCCCGCATCTCCGCGGTCGGGCCGCCTCCGCCCCGGCCAGAGCTGCGGCGCTGGGGCGCGCCGGGCTCCGCGCCTCCAGGCGGCACGCCCAGGAACCGCTCGCCGCGCGAGGGTAGGGGCTGCGGAGGCGGCTGGAAATGCGGCTCCGCTGCGAGGAAACTGCAGTCGGGCCCGGATCTCGGTGCCCCCCTCCACCCCGGCCCGCCCTCCGCCTTCGCCCCAGCCCCTCCCGCAGGCCTGAGAGCGGGGAGCGCGCAGGACTCACCTGGGGCCGCGCAGAGCTGCGGGATTGGAAACGCCACACGGCGGGGGCTGGGACGGTGGGCCCGGATTAAAGTTGGGAAGCAGATTGTTCTGGCCATCAGGAAAGCGCTGTGTATTTGCATAACTTATAAAAACACTCTTATTACATTACACAGTTACCTAGGTCTTGGCCAGTTGCTCAAGGAGAGGAGATGTCTGGCTTGACAAATAACAACAAAAGGTACTCTGGTTAGAGAGATTTCCCCTCCGACAAACCCAGCTCAAATCTTTCCCCTTTGATATCATTATCATTATCTGATAGAGGGTTTTGGTTTGGGGTTTTTCCTTTTTGGCGCAGAAAATCTGTTGAACAACTGCATGTAGGTTCAGGGTATTATTTTTACCTTTAACTTCATTTTTTAAAGTTCATAAGTACAAAGAATAGGACAGTGTTTCATAGAAGTTTATAATATACACAAATTTTAGCAAGAATATGGATAGTTCAAACATGTTTGGAAAACTGAGAAAAGTATTCAAGACATGAAGGTTCATCAAAGGATGGATGCAGGGGGCCTCTGTTCCCCAGGACTTTGCCTGAGGGAACAGAGATTGAGGTGCTAGGAAAATCCCTTTTTTTCCTACTTCCCCTACTACACCTGCACCTTAGAACAGGCAGGGAGTGCGGTCCTCTTGTTAGTAAATAAAATATGGACGTGTTCCAAGCCCCAATGACATGGGGGCAGGGGCTAGCAGAGGCTTGCTGCTGGGAACGGAGTATACGGCACCTCCCAGAAAGAGGTAGTGTGCATAGTTGGGAGTGAACTTTCCTTGAGTAGGTTTTAGGGAGTGAAACCCAAGGGCCTCCTGAAGTGACTGAGGTGGTTACCAGGGAGAACTGGCAGGAAGGAAGCTGCAGGTCCTTGTCGGTATGTAGAGAGCGGAATGGGTACGAGATCACAGCTGAAGTGCGCTGGGAAAGGGAACTGAGGGCTGGCACCAAGGATCCGCCATGCCCTTTCTGTGCCCTTCCCACATAGCGCTCAGCTTTCATGCTCAGTAAATGCTGAGCCAATATTTAAAGAATATAAGTTTGATATTTAGTACCAAATTATTTGCCTGAGTGTCTAGGTCCGGCCATGGGGATGTACACAAACTACCTGAAGTAGAGGGATATGGAGGGCAAAAGGGAGAGTCAATCCTGACAAACCTTATGCCCAGAAAACAGGTGAGAAACCAGAGGGAGTTTAATATTTTCATCCCAGAGAGCAACTTACTGCAATTCACTCTCACAACTGCTTTTCGGGGCAGACCTGCCCCATGCACTGGTGGGGCTGATGGCCCCACTGCTGCTTCCTGGGAATATAAGGTAACTGCTGAGCATCATCTGGTCTTTGGTTCAAATATGGCTTACATTTTCAGAGACAAACTGCAGTGAATGTCTGTAAGAAGCAGGTGTGGGTAAAATAAAATCTCACAAGAGAATTTCAAATATAATCACAAGCAACCCAATGCAGGTTAAATTTTAGCTTTTAGATCCATGCCATAGGGCTGTAGAAGATAGAAGGAAGCAGAGTAGTTCTGAAAAGTCCACAGACCTAAAAATTGGACAAAAGTTTGGTATCAAAATGTCAGAACAGGGCACTCTGAAAGGCCAAGGCGGGAGAATCACTTGAGGCCAGGAGTTCAAGACCAGCCTGAACAACAAGACTCCATATCTCAAAAAAAATTAGAAAAATTAGCTGGGTGTCGTGGTACCGTAGTCCCAGTTACTTGAGAGGCTGAGGGAGGAGGATCGCTTGAGCCCAGAAGTTTGAGGCCACAGTGAGCTATGATGATGCCACTGCACTCTAGCTGAGGTGACACAGCAAGATCCTTTCTCAAACGAACAAACAACAATAACAAGAAAAACCTGTTGGGAACATGGAAATCAGCTACAGCTGTGACGCAGTGATGCAAGCCTTAGCCAACTCTTTATCCAGGGTCAGACTGAGTCCCAGATGGAAAAGCTCTTCCACAAAGGGCTGCAAACCAGCCTCAGAGAGAAAGGAAACTAAGGCTCGGGAGCAGGGCACTCAGCTCCAGAGAAGTGGTGGTGGCAGAATGAACTCAGCAGAGAAGAACTGAACCAAACTGGGTAACAAAAGGAGCAGAAAGGCGGAGCCTTCAAAGAACGGCTCATCAGAATCCCTAGTAGAGCCAGGTCCCAGGCTCAACCTACAGTGGCCATGCAGGGCCCGCTGCCCTGCAGGTGGAAGGTGCAGAAGCTGAGCGTGTCTGCGCTACAGCTCCTCTCCACAGGCTCCTACAGCTCGTGAGGGAACATGAAGACTCCAGGAGCCAGAGTGGGCACCTTCACTCCACTCCTCCCATCCCCACCACCAATTTTGACAGTCTGGGTGTCATAAGCATGGGCATTAGCTCCAAGCTAGAGGCACCTTATTTTTCTTTTTCAAGAATTTAAAAAAAAAAAAAACAACACTTGAGGTGTTACAAGATAAGAAGAGAGAAGGTACTTGAGGCCTTACAAAATAAGAAGAGAGAAGGGACTTGAGGCGTTACAAGATAAGAAGAGAGAAGGGACTAAAATTGGTTCCACAGTTGCCTGAGTAATATGGTCTAGTGATATAGACATTTTTTTCAGTAAATTTTCAAAACAAACTCTAGTGGATTATATTGCTATTTTAATTTTGCAAGCGAAAGAAACTGGGGTCCATAGGGATCAATTAACAAGTTTAATTCCCAGAGCTAGGTTATGATAGAGCCAGGATTCAAACCCAAGGGGGTCTCACAGCAGCAGCCCTGTGGGCTTATCTACCACCTACTTTGTCTCTCCAAGCAGTGTGAGCACTGGGGCGCTGTCCATGGTATTCGAGCTTTACAGGCTCAATTCTTCTGAGCTATGTCTAAACGGAATGACTACATAACCTCAAATGCCTGCCAGTTATACTGTCACCTTTTGAGAAAGATGACTTCAGACAGTCTCTTATGCAGATATTGCTATGTTCTGTGTCACCCATGACAATTAGGAAAAAGACAACTAAATCAGTTTCCCAAACTTTAAAGTACATATGTATCACCTAGTGCTCTGCTATGATGATCAAACAAGGAACCATTAGGCCAGGCTGGGCACAGTGGCTCATGCCTGTAATCCTAGCACTCTGAGAGGCTGAGGCAGGTGGATCTTTTGAGCTCAGGAGTTCGAGACCAGCCTGAACAAGACTGAGACTTCCTCTCTACTAAAAATAGAAAGAAATTAGCTGGGCAACAAAAAATAGAGAGAGAAAATTAGCCGGGTATGGTGGCGCATGCCTATAGTCCCAGCTACTTGGGAGGCTGAGGCAGGAGGATCACTTGAGCCCAGGAGTTTGAGGTTGCTGTGAGCTAGGCTGATGCCATGGCCCTCTAGCCCAGGCAACAGAGTGAGACTATGTCTAAAAAAAAAAAAAAGGAGCCATTAGATCAGTGCTTCTCAAACATTACTGTGCATATGAATGACTGAAGATCTTGTTAAAATGCAAATTATGGCTCAGTAGCTCTGGGAGTGGGGGAGCTAAGATTCTGTATTTCTAACAAGCTTCCAGGTAATTCCAGACCAACACTTCTGAGTAACAGTTGTCTATAACACTGGCTTATGAGGAAGATCAAGAACTCTGCACCCCATATCAGACAGTTCCTAATCAATCAAGTCACCATTTCTTATTAGTTTGGACATCAGACATATAGATAAAAGGATTGGGGCAGTACTAGAATCAGAAATAGAAAGTGAATCAATACTCTAGAAGAATAATTAGAACAGAGAGTTGTGCACACCCCTTCTGAGAGGTTTATCTCATGCCCAACTGCTGGGAGCTGAAGGAGGAAGCCCTGAGAGGAGAGATGTGGGGAGGAGGAGGTAAGAGAGAGAAGACAGAGAATAGGCAATTTATCTTACCTCTATTTCCCTACCAGGGTGATTAATGATATCACGGCACATTTTTCAGGTGCAATACAAGAGCATAAGCAAATGAATGAAATACTTTACAAATTTAATTTATCCTAGAAGGATTTTTTCACAATGATGTTATTCTTCATGTTTAAAAATATAGCTTATTTGCTTTTTGAAGGCATGAAATAAAATAAAAAAGAAAAATTATAAAAAAATTTAATAATAAAAAATACAAATAAATAAAAAATAAATTAAAATACAGCTTATGAGATTCACGGCCTTGCTCCTGTGAAAAGTGGATGTGATGCTGGCACTATTGCTCATTTTACATAATGAAATTTACCATGCTATTTTATTAAAATATCTCTGTAGTATTCAAATATAAACAATTTACTTGATAATGTTATTCTCAATTGTATTGTAAAGCTTCTGCTTTCTTGGCTTGATTTGTGGAGAAGATTACATCTAACACTACCCTATCCACCTGGGATAGGTGTATACTGAATTCTAACCAACATTATAACTTGAAGCCAGTCTGTCACCATAAGGTGACTTTGCCTATATACTTTCTGAGCCCCCAGAATTGAGCATTTTATAAATCATAATGCAATTCTTGGAAAGCATGTCCTGCAATATTAATGTGATGCTGAGAAAAGATATACAAATAAGAACCAGGCTCAGAGAGTGAGAGGTGATTGAGAAGGTGAGTCTTGAGAAGAGTTTAGAATGTTTTAA